TTTCCGCGCGGAGCCGTGCGGACCTCGCGGACGCGTCAAGCATAAACCAACCTTAAGTCTCCTTCCTTTCCGGTTGGCTCATGGGACCCCGGAAAAAAACAAAAAATGAATGCAAGTCAACGGGGCTAAAAGAGCTTTTTTCTCATCTGCTTTGCCTTTCGTGCTGGATCACACATATGTTGTACTTCTATTTAAATGAAAAGTAATGATGGGTGTTTCGGCCAGGCCAGTTAGCTACTTTGAAATTCATCAGCTTGTACAAGTTCGCTTTTAGCATTACTACAAATCAGACATTGACACGTTGCATATATGACGTCACCATAGAATCTACTCTCCTCTAGTTGGGACATCATTATCTCAGGAGGTAGAGTGGGTTGTCCAGCAATCGGAAGGTTGCAGGTTCAATCCCAGCTCTGACCAGAGAATTCTGTAGTTGTGTCCTTGGGCAAGACACTTAACCCCCCTTGCCTGCTGGTGGTGGTCGGAGGGATCGGTGGCGCCAGTGCTCGGCAGCCTTGTCTCTGTCAGTGCGCCCCAGGGCAGCTGTAGCTACATCGTAGCTCATTCTCACCAGCATGTGAACGTGTGAGTGACTGATTGTGTTGTGAAGCACCTTGGGGGGGGGGGGGGGGGGGGGGGGTAGAACCCTAAGAAGGTGCTAAACGGGGCTAAAAGAGCTTTTTTCTCATCTGCTTTGCCTTTTGTGCTGGATCACACATATGTTGGCAGGCCATTTACCATCTAACGTAGCTGCTATTTACCATATGGCCAGATTTATGGTGTTTCTTTCCTCCCGAAGAAAGGATTTGAAGTTTGCTGAACTTACAGCCCTTTTCCCTCTGTTTTTCTCCATGTCTGGGTCGTTTACGTTACTTACATGGAGCGCATTTGTAGTCGTGGACTTATTTTCACACAAAACCTAAAATAGTGTTTTTTCCTGTTAGAAAATAAGTGCTTTCTTGGTATCAAAATGTGTCTATAAAATTCACGGATATAATACGTGAAATCCATGTCACATAACAAGCAGAATTAGAAAATAGCGTTTTTAGTCCCATTGACTTGCATTTGTTTTTGTTGTTCTTCCGGGGACCCATGGTCTGGAAGTAGATGGGCGTGACTTAGGCTCCCTATTATCAGAAGACTGCTTCCACATCTGGGAGGTAATGGCATCAACTCGACTGGGCCATTTACATGCAGATGCAGTCGGTTTGCTACTGCATCATCTTCAGCACAATTAGAGCCTGTTCGCCTTCAGCGAGAAAGAGTTCATGTGCATTTTAGAATCTGACGTCAGTCTATTTAGGGTAAATATTTGGTTTTCTGATGCGCACGTAAACACACAGAGTGTGACGTGCAGTTAAATTTTTTTATGAGTAAATGTGGTCCTGAAAGTGGCCAGCTGTACTACATTGCTATTGGCATCAGCGTCGTCTTAATTTTGAGACATTGCATTTTGTGGAAAGCTCTGATGAACATCTGAAGTGTTGAGTTGAGGAGAAAATACTTTATCAGAATAAATGCCACATTAATACAGACACACTGCAAATAAATTATTCTTAAATTTAAACCTAACTGCTGCATTCATGGACCCTGGTTATTTGAATAGTTGGTGTTTTTATGTGGCTCTGGACAGTTTCCCTTCCACCCACCAAATAAATATGGATGAAAGTTGACCAACTCTGACCGTGATCTAAATGAAGTCATCTTCAGTGTGTCCACATCTGCTTTTAGAGCCAGCCTTCTACGATGTCAGGTATGAATGGGATCTCTGAGGACAAACTTTCTCTACTAAGCAATGGTTGAAAAGACAAACGGTGAGCCCGCTACTTAAAATGACAAGACACAGTAAAACCTCATGTAAAAGTAAAGCTTTAAATAATAATTGCAATATAATGCCCTTAAAGAACTCAAAGCTGTTTCATAATGTAGTGGTTGTGGTAAACCACCAGCTCAGTGGCCCAGTGGCACGAGTGTCCACTCTGAGACTAGGAGATTGTGGGTTCAAATCCATAGTCGGGTCATACCAGAAACTTTTTAAAATGGGACCCAATGCCTTCCCGCATCACACTCAGCATTAAGGGGTTTGATTGTGGGGTTAAACCACCAAATGTTTCCCGAGTGTGGCCGTGTCTGCTACTCACTGCTACCCCAGGGGATGGGTCAAATGCGGAAAACATATTTCACCAGTGTGTCACGACTAATGAGACTTTCAACTGTAGCCACAGCCTCCCCAGGACAGTTTGAGAGAAGCAAGACCACCATCAGCCCCTCTGACTACCACCATCACAGGTTAGGCAGGTTAAATGTATCGCCCAAGGACACACCAGAAGAAGGACTGTGAATGAGTTTGGATGCTCTGTGTAATTTGTGTATGTTACATGCACATTTAACTAAGATACACATTGCAATTTTACTTTTTAAAATAATTTTCTAAATCTTAATCTCATACATTTTAATTTTGGAACCTATCTTTTCAGAATATTGTGCCACAAACTCACAATAACACACTAGCCAAATTCTCAAATCAGTTGATGTCCTGTTTATTTAAAACTAACTTGATAACTAACAGATAGGAGTGGTTAATATGTTAACATTCTCCATCGGACTTCCATCAGTCCAACAGTCAGTAATTGACAAAATAATCTATATTTTTTGTTTTTGTTTGGTAACATTTTTTGTCACACTAAACCTAAAATGTTCTCTACAAAACAATAATAATCATCCAACTTCACACATTAAATAGGGATGCACCAAAAATTCGGCTAAAGACATTTTTCACCTGAAAATGACTCAAAAGATAGTTTTCAGCCGAAACACCTTAAGCAGAAACAATGCAGCTGAAATGGGCCGTCAGGTGAACCCCGTTTTCATTTCGTCTCGCTCCACCCTCATGTGGCAACTTGCTCTTTGCTTCACAAAATCAGTGCATTCGTACTGATTTCATGAGTAAAGTTTTTCCCTTTTTAGTAATGTTGTTTTATTATCATTGTTTTGATTTGAGACTAGTTTGTTTTGAGCATAATGAGGAAGAAGTGAAGCGGCTCTCTTGCGATGGACACAGTTAGTAAACACATCCGACATGCTGGTGGCCTTGAAGCCCGAAAAGCAGTGATTATGCTTTTAATACCTTAGAAAATTCTAGATTCGTGAACAAAAATGATTTTTATGGAAATGTGGGTCTGCAACACGCACAAAGTAACACTTTGTCCTCGCTGCTACTCTCAAAATCCATGTTGCCCACACAAGCACAGACAGTGAGGCACTTCAGTGTTCATGATCTCGATGAGATGAACAGACTTGTGTGACAAAGCACTAGTATAGTCCTAAATAGAACATTTTTAAAAGCGCTTGACCCTTTTTTTGTTTTTATTAGAGAACATATTTAATTTTACAGTATTTCTCAGCAGACCTTTAAGTTATAAGCCCGAATATTTATAATTTATTATTTTTGTCTATAATTTCTTATTATTTAATGTACATGAGTGGGGTCAAGTGAAACATTCTGTTTTGAGTTTTAATTTATATTGTACATTGTTTTTATGTGAGGGATAAATAAATATTTTCATTGTTTTGAAATTTTTTTTACAATGCCCTGATTTTAATGAGGTTAGTACACACCATAGCCATGAATGCTATGGTTCTAATTTTTGTCGTAATCATTTATTTCTGTGTTTCGGTTTTTGGCCTTGGTTTCCTCATTTTCAGTTTTCGGTAATGGCCAAGAGTTTTTGTTGTGATGCACCCTTAATAATAAATAAAGATAAAAGCTGTAGTAAACAGTAAATAAAGCATCAGTGAAATTTGTACATCGGTATTCTGTTGGTAAAACTGCAACATCATAGTAGAGCTGTTTTCTGGAGAAATGATGGTGGTTTGATGAAAGAGTGAAAACGCTTGTGAATGACCACTCAGTGATATTACTGGTCATATCACCACACCCCAATTAATTATTTATATATTTGCTTTTAGGTAAAAAACAGGCTATTCTAATGCCTTAGGGCCTCTAGTGGAGTCTCCAGACCTGAAATCAACCCCAACTAATTCCATAAATAATTAATGGTTTGCTTCTACAGATGACATAGACATCTTACTTTTATTTCTGTGTGCTCTTTTCACGTAGGACAGTCAGTGAGAAACCACATGCACAACAAATGTCTTTGTGTAAGTTATGAACCCCCACCTCATTTATCAGAACCACTTCCTCCTCAGAAAACATTCCACAGCAGTCAATGATGATGTATGTTCAGGTCAGTGGTCAACAGTTATTCCAGACCTGGGAGCAGCATAGGTCATATAGCAGCAGAACGTTAAGTCTCTTAGATCGAGCAGCATTGGGGGGTTCTCTTTGTCACCACTTTAGCCTGGCCGTTGCATGTAAACTGCAGGTTGTTCAGTCAGGTATAAATTCATTTTATCGACTTGTCGTTTGGTGTGTGTGTGGTGTGTGTGTGTGTGTGTGTGTGTGTGTGTGTGTGCGCGCGTGTGCGCGTGTGTGTGTCGGTCAGCGCATGTGTGTGCGTTTCTTATGTAGAAAACAGCACATTAAAAGTCCCTGACTCACAAATGAGTCAGACACTCATGTCTCTGTTAAAACAAACTAGGGGGGGGGGGGGGGGGGGGGGCGCTTGTATTTGTACCCTTGGGATTTGGGATATTTACTAACCGGCTTCTTACGACCGATGGTCCTTGTTAGGACCAAAACCCGGTCCTAATATGGAGTACTCCCTAGGGGTGAGGTTTACAGATGAGATGTGAGTTTTTGTTACAGATAACTTTAGGAATACACTGGTTAGGGTTGGGCACAATCCAGTCACTAAAATGAATAGAAATCAATGATGGTCCTCACAACAAATGTGAGTGTGTGTGTGCACACGTGCATGTGTGTGTGTTGTGATGTGACAGAGAACTAATAGAAGGCCAGATAGAATGGATCCATAAACTTGTTATTCAGGTAAATAAATATATTTCTGATTAATGATTCAACATTCTTTTTGCTGCAGAGATTCCAGTGAGGAGTGCAATGGGATCAGTGGTACTCTGTCAGTGGAGTCTGTGCCGGGGCCAAGACTGAACTGGTGTTCCACCAACGCCCCTACTCCTATTCCAGCTCCTGTGCCAGAGCCAATGCTCAACCCTGTCAGAATGGGGGATGGCCTTGATGTAGCGCAGATGTCTGGTAGCAGCAGCAGCCTGGGGCAGGCCCAGCAAGGCCTCGATCCCTCAGTTCCTGAGCATGTCAACTTCAGCAGGCCAAAGCGCCAGACCAATCAGCTGCAGTACCTTCTCAAGGTGGTGGTGAAGTCCCTGTGGAAGCACCAGTATGCCTGGCCTTTTCATTCACCAGTGGATGCTGTCAAACTCAACCTGCCTGTAAGTACTAGCTACTGTTTTGTATGATCTAACACACATGCACACACATTCGTTTTAGTGACTCCACTGTGCCTAACCCATACCCAAACCTTAACCAATGCTGTTCTATTCCTCACCCTAAATAAAAAGGTATTTCACACCATACTACTAAAACCAAGTACTATTGTGTTTTGCACTAGGTGGACCAGCCAAATGTCCACACATCAAATACACACACACAAAGTCTGTCAACGTTTGAGCTGCTATGAATTTGTCATCAAGTTCTTGGCGTTAACATATGCCCACTAAAGATCGTCAGTCGAGTTTTTCTGTTGCTGGATATTGATGCTGATATGTAGAAGTCATGGTCAGCCCACGTGGGCTGGTTTTTATGGCCGCTATCTAGACGTTTTCCACCTTATTTTCATACTGAAATGTTACTTCTAACCAGAGAGTAACTGCATTTAAGTATAACAGCATTACCAATGGCTAGGGGTGGGAATTGATCACATTTTACAATTCTGATTCCGTTTTCAATTGTGTTTACAATTATATTCTTTATTGATTTTCTTATCAAATCTCATTTGGAAAAAGGGAGAAGAAAAAGATTGATTAGCTTATTGTGCTTAAATTGTGTTTTTATATTATCGTTGAACAAGATACAAATTTAGAAGGAACATGATCTTACAAACCGAGCAGTGATGTCTTAAGCTTGGTTTATGCTTGACGCATTCACTCTCCGCGCGGTGATGCGGCTCGCGGATGGAACGTGCTTCACAACTCACAGCTTTTATGGTTCATGCGGCTCGTCTCTGCGGTGAGCCAATATTCTCCCAAACTAAACGGGGCAGGCATGGAGCTCTACGGCATGCATCCAACACCACACCATAGTAGAAGTAAAAATTACTGTTTACAACATGGCGTTTCAGCATTTTTAACAGCGTCCTCGTCTTTTCCGACATTGCGAGCTATTTCTCTCCAAGAATTATTAACAACATGTTGATCACGGTGATCTCTGAGAGCTGAATCATACAAATGTCTGTATTTACCAACCTCTGCCATACTAGTTCTTGCCGGTCCGCCATGTTTTTCCGTGTCCGTCCGTCCGCGTGGTTAGAAATTTTCCTAGGTGCGCGTTGCGGTAATTTTGGGCCGTGCGGAGGCGCGGTGGAGGGGCGTGGTTGTTAAAATGACGCAATTTCGCCGCGCAGAGCCGTGCGGACTTCGCGGACGCGTTAAGCATAAACCAACCTTTAACCCTCCCACTGTCCTAATGGGTGACCCCACGAGGAAAGTTGACCATTGAGCAGGGTTGATGGTTTATCCCTTGAGGGCCATGTGGCAGGAGTGAGGTGGTGCTCACTCCTCATCCCTGCCACATGGACCCATACATATATATATATATATATATATAGAGAGAGAGAGAGAGAGAGAGAGAGAGAGAGAGAGAGAGAGAGAGAGAGAGAGAGAGAGAGAGAGAGAGAGAGAGGAGAGAGAGAGAGAGAGAGAGAGAGAGAGAGAGAGAGGAGAGAGAGAGAGAGAGAGAGAGAGAGAGAGAGAGAGAGAGAGAGAGAGAGAGAGGAGAGAGAGAGAGAGAGAGAGAGAGAGAGAGAGAGAGAGAGAGAGAGAGAGAGAGAGAGAGAGAGAGAGAGAGAGAGAGAGAGAGAGGAGAGAGAGAGAGATGTATAATACATATACATATCTATATATATTTTTATTTTTATTTTTTTTGTTTTTCATATATATATGTATATATATATATGTGTGTGTGGGAAAAAATATATACCGGTATATGAATATATATATATATATATATATATATATATATATATATATATTCATATGTTTCCACAAGAAGTTTATTGTTCACACCTTTCTTTGCTGTTGTTTCAGGACTACTACACAATAATCAAAACGCCTATGGACATGGGAACAATCAAGAAAAGGCTTGAGAATAGCTACTACTGGAATGCCCAAGAATGTATCCAGGACTTTAACACAATGTTTACCAACTGCTACATATACAACAAGGTGACATATGTTGGAGCCATTGTTGCTATAACATACCCACGTGTTGGTTGTGCTTGTAGTTTCACTGTAATGTAATGTCTTTCTGACAGCCTGGGGATGATATTGTCTTGATGGCTGAAGCTCTAGAAAAGGCTTTTCTACAAAAGGTTACGGAAATGCCTCAGGAAGAAATTGAGATTCCTGTCATGACAGGGAAGGGACGTGGTCGTGGCCGGGAGAGACATAGGTGTGTCATTTGCTTACCAATATGTTTCTTTTATCGAGCAGGCTTTTGTGAAACAGATTGTAATACAAATGTTGTTTTCTTTCATCAAGGTCTAAACATGAAACCAGGTATAATCATTGACCCCTCACCCACAACTCCTCAAACGCGTGGTCCATCAACTCCCTCAGCAGCTCCACAGTCTCGAGGACCAATGCAGGGCCCACCTTCACTACCTCCCCATCCTTCGATGCAGGCCCTGCCATCCCACGTACCCCAAACGTTACCCAGCCATGCACCACAGCTCGGAGTTCCATACTCCATGGTTCCATCAGACTGTGCTCCTCAAATTCCCATCATGACTCCTGTGCCTCTCCCTGTCCAGACCTCACTTCCTCCAATATCGGTTCAGAGCACTGCCCCTATGCTGCAGACCCCTATAACTATGACCAAAGTGAGTCTGATTAACAAAGAGATGTCTGTTTGGGCTGGTTGGAACTTTTTTTATCAATGTGTTCGAGTGCCAAAATATGTGGTTCTTTAGTTTAGCTTCACTCCAATCACTTTCTCTCTCTCTCTCTCTCTTGTTTCTTCTACCCAGCAAAGAAAGAGTCAAAAAAGGAAAGCTGACACTACAACGCCCACAGCAAATGACCAGCTGAGTGAGTCTTCACCAGCAGAATCCAAATCTGGGAAGACGCTACCCAGGCGAGAGAGTAGCAGACCTCCAAAACTGATAAAGAAGGAGGCTCCGGACTCTCAGCATCACATAGGCATGGGGACTGGGCTTAGTGGACCAAGTGGAGGTCTTAGCCCCAAACCTCAGGATCAGCTAGGTTATTGTGTTGGTTTGGTTAGGGATATGCTGTCCAAGAAGCATGCTGCATATGCTTGGCCCTTTTACAAACCTGTTGACGTGGATGCACTGGGACTGCATGATTATCATGAAATTATCAAACATCCAATGGATCTCAGCACCATCAAGGTGTGTTGAGAACAGGATTTTTTCTTAATAATAGCTGGGAAACTGATGAAAATGACATTTTAGTACCAAAGTAACTAAAACCCTTGGGTTTTTATTTTTTTTTTTTTTGTTTTTTTTTATAGGCGAAGTTGGAGAACAAGCAATATCGAGAACCTCAGGAGTTTGCTGCTGATGTTCGGTTAATGTTTTCTAACTGCTACAAATATAACCCACCAGACCACGAAGTTGTAGCCATGGCTCGCAAACTGCAGGTGCGTACATGTGACTGTTTCTTCTCTTTACATAAAAATGGGGTTTTATTTTCCTTATGGTATCTGTTGAAGGAGCAGTTTAATTTATTGGAATATCGATTTTTGTTCAATCACGTGCAGCACTGGTTAGAAATGTCTGAAATAACTATGTGTTTATCACACAATGACAGATATTTTTGCCAGGAAGTTTTATTAATCTTAGAAGTGAAACATCTTTTATATGTTGCACTTATTTCACTATTTAAAAGAGTTTATTTGTTGTGACATCTTAAGTATTCCTTATATTTGTTGTGTTTTAATACCTTTTTCAAAGGCATGAATAATAAGCATAGTGTTATTTTATTTTAACAGGATGTCTTTGAAATGCGCTTTGCCAAGATGCCAGATGAACCTGAGAGTAAACCGGTGGTTTCTGCCCCAGCCCCTACACTTCACCATCCTGCCCCTGTTAAGCCTCAGCCGCCTTTGGCCCATGTTCCTTCGTCTTCAGACAGCTCCAGCGACTCATCTTCTGAGTCTGAGTCGTCCACAGATGACTCTGAAGAAGAGCGAGCCCAGCGGTTAGCGGAGCTCCAGGAACAGGTTGGTGATTACAGGAAATTCAAAAAGAAGGAAACATTGATTTTATCACCTGTGAAACTTTGTTTAAAAGTGGTGTTATTTGTCCAAACAGCTCAAGGCTGTCCATGAACAGCTGGCTGCCCTGTCGCAACCACAAGCCAGCAAACCAAAGAGAAAAGAAAAGGAAAAGAAAGAAAAGAAAAAAGATAAACATAAGAAGAAAAGTGGAATGACTGGTCTCGTTAATGAGATACAGGACAGTATGCCAGTTTCACAGCCGTCAAAGAAATCCAAGGCTATTAACAGCAGCAAAGAGATTGGTTTAAAGAAGAAACCCAGGTGAGTGTTAAAAGGCAGTCTGTGGTTACTGTTCTCCTTTATGTTTTCTTTGTACTCGTGTTTTATAGGCACTTCCAAATGACGATGCTTTAGGCGAAATTGTGTGTGTTTATATTTGTATAAAGATGCCTCCTGATTGTTTAATTCTGCATCCTTGAGTTGATGAATGTACGTACACCTACACACAACTTTATGGATTGTGCTACATTGTCATATTTTATATGAAATGACAAAGTTCAGCCAACAGAGCCTTAGTGTTAGGGCTGATACCTTTAGATAGTTTTAATACCAGTACTTTACCTGGTTTTCCGTATCTGTACCGAACTTTAAATTTAATTTTAAGAAAAAAGTTTTGACATTTAATGTATTTTATTTCATTTTATTTTATTATTTCATTCATTTTTTCTTTATTTTATTTTGTTATTTTTTATTTTATTGAACAAAGCTGAACAATGTATAAACGGTCAGTGCAAACAGTGAACTATAATATAAAACTTTTTTTAGAGCAAGAATAAGCGGCAATATTTAAATATTCTTGCAAAATATAAAATTATAGTATTCATCTTTTAGTGCAAACCAAAAGTAAAGATATTAAAATTAAGATAGGTTTACATCCCAGTTAAAATAAGCACATTGGATAAATAAAACCTATGTACATCGTCAACTTGAGTCCTAGCGTTTTGCTTCAGATAAATGACCCTGATCAGACCTCCCGTGTTGACTAGAGGAGGAAGCTTGCTGACCTGGGTCTGCTTTTTTATGCAGCCTGAAAATGGCGCATGTATCAGTTCACAAACTGATGCCATGAGGTGCTTCATTAAATTGCTGGTGTTTACAGATGTGAACGTTAGTGTTGGTACTCTTTGGTCAATGAAAGAAAACCCTGCAATGGTCACAGACATAACTTAAATCTGACAAAAGTAATAATAAATAAAAATTCTATGAAATTTAACCACTTTGACACTGCTATTCAACCATGCTGCAACAGAATTATTTTTTAAATAGCAACCCGCACGGACAAAAACTAAAGTGTAACTGAATGCATGCAGCAGAAGCAGAACCGGTGACCACAACCATTAGGACTGCTCCATTTCCACCTAGGAAGCAGTTGAAGTCTCCTGTGTGGGAATAATATCTAAAATATTCCAGACACTGGGGTTAATAGTCAAATCCCTAGATGGAACAGGCCTGGACAAAAATGGTGGTACCCCCACTAATCACTGCAGTCAAACAATTCCTGTAACTGTCGATGAAACTTCTGTACCTCTCGGCAGGTATTTTGGCCCACTCCTCATTAGCAAACTGCTTCAGTTGTCTGATTTGAAGGGCACCTTTTCCAGACCGCATGTTTCAGCTCCTTCCAAAGATGCTCAATTGGACTGAGGTCAGGGCTCATAGAAGGTCCCTTTTAGAATAGTCCAGTGTTTTCCTCCTAGCCATTCTTGGGTGTTTTTAGCTGTGTGTTTTGGGTCATTGTCCTGTTGCAAGACCAAGCTTTCTGACACTGGCCAGCACATTTCTCTCTAGAAGTCCTTGTCAGTCTTGAGATTTTGTTGGACCCTGTATAGATTCAAGACACCCTGTGCCATTTTTTTCTCATCTGTCCATAGGACATTCTCCCAGAAGCTTTGTGGCTTGTCAACATGTAGTTTGGCATATTCCAGTCTGGCTTTTGATGATTTGTTTTCAACAGTGGTGTTCTCCTTGGTCGTCTCCCATGTAGTCCACTTTGGGTCAAACAACGATCTGACACTGATGTTGAGCTTGAAGTTCACCTTGGATCTTGTTAGAAGTTTTTCTGGACTCTTTCTACCATCCAGATTATACGTCTCTTTGATTTGTTATCAATTTCCCTTCAGGGGCCACGTCCAGGGAGGTTGGCTACAGTCCCATGGATCTTAGAAGTCTGAATAAAATGTGCAGCTGCAGACACATCTGGCTGCTTGGAGAGGGTCTCATAGCCTTTACCTTTAACATGGTCGTTTAAAATTTTCTTTCTAATCTCCTGAGACAACTCTTTCCTTTGCTTCCTCTGGTCCATGTTGAGTGTGGTACACACCATGTCACCTAACAACACAGTGACTACCTGGAGCCCCATATACAGTCACCTAAAGGATTATAAGAACAACACACTAATAAGGTGTTTGACCCCCTTTTGCCTTCAGAACTGCCTTAATTCTACATGGCGTTGATTCAACAAGGTGCTGAAAGCATTCTTTAGAAATGTTGGCCCATATTGATAGGACAGCATCTTGCAGCTGATGGAGATGTGTGGGGTGCACATCCAGGGCACAAAGCTCCCGTTCCACCACATCCCAAAGATGCCCTATTGGGTTGAGATCTGGTGACTGTGGGGGCCATTGTAGTACAGTTAACTCATTGTCATGTTCAAGAAACCAATTAGAAATTATTGGAGCTTTATGACATGGTGCATTATCCTGCTGGAAGTAGCCGTCAGAGGATGGGTACATGGTGGTCATGAAGGGACGGACATGATCAGAAGCAATGCTCAGGTAGCCCGTGGCATTAAATCATGCCCAATTGGCACTAAGGGGCCTAAAGTGTAACAAGAAAACATCCCCCACACCATTACACCACCACCACCACCAGCCTGCACAAGGCATGATGGATTCATGTTCTCATTGACTACGTTTACATGCAGCCAATATCCGGGTTATGATCGGGTTTAGGTTGGTATTCGGGTTTCTGAGTTTATCAGAATAACCCGTTTACAAGCATAAATAAAGAGTTACCCCTAACTTGCATAACCCGATTTAAATGCGGACGTTGGGGTAGTACGTCCAGACGCAATATGCGTCATTTCCGGTTCTTCTTGTTCCGGTATCCATGAAAACAACAACATGTTTCCCAGTTCGGAAGAGATAGCGACCGCGTTTGTTTGTGCTTTAGTTTCCTCGTCACTCCAAAAGTGTGGTGCTGTGCCGCGACTCGCCATGTTGCTCCCAACTTGTTTACTTCCGGTGTTCTGGCGCATACAAGACGCCTCGCTACTCAAAAGACCAAGATTCCTTGCGAACAGAGCATGCGCAGAACACAAACTTTGATGGGGATATCCCGGTATGCGTTTACACGACCAAACATTCGGGTTAGAAAAGGTGTAGTAACCGGGTTTTTAAAAACCCAGTTATGAGCATATCCGGGTTTTTGGCGGTGTTTACATGGACCTGCGGAACCGGTTTATTGTGAATATTCGGGTTTTAAAAGGGTTACTGGCTGCATGTAAACACAGTCATTCTGTTTACGTCAAATTATGACTCTACCATTTGAATGTTTCAACAGAAATTGAGACTCATCACACCAGTCAACATTTTTCCAGTCTTCAACTGTCCAATTTTGGTGAGATTGTGCAAACTGTAGCCTCTTTTTCCTATTTTAGTGGAGATGAGTGGTACCCGGTGGTCTTCTGCTGCTGTAGCCCATCCGACTCAAGGTTGTACGTGTTGTGACTTCACAAATGCTTTACTGCATTCCTCGGTTGTAACGAGTGGTTATTTCAGTCAAAGTTGCTCTTCTATCAGCTTGAATCAGTCGGCCCATTCTCCTCTGACGTCTAGCACCAGCAAGGCATTTTCGCCCACAAGACTGCTGCATACTGGATGATTTCCCTTTACACACCATTCCTTGTAAACCCTAGAAATGGTTGTGGGTGAAAATCCCAGTAACTGAGCAGATTGTGAAATACTCAGACCAGTCCGTCTGGCACCAACAACCATGCCACGCTCAGAATAGCTTACATCACCTTTCATTCCCATTCTGACATTCAGTTTGGAGTTCAGGAGATTGTCTTGACCAGGACCACACCCCTAAATGCGCTGAAGCAAACACCATGTGATTGGTTGATTAGATAACTGCATAAAGGAGAAGTTGAACAGGTGTTCCTAATAATCCTTTAGGTGAATGTATAGGCCCACTGACTGATTACAAGATGTAGACACCTGTGATGCTAACTAGTGGACATACCTTGAATAAATATGTATCTTTGGTCAAAGAATTATTATTTTTTTACTTTTGCCAAATTCAAGTTATTTCTGTGACCATTGTTGGTTTTTCTTTCATTGACTGAAGGATACCAACACTTTAGCCCATGTCTGTACATATTTAGCAACACAAACCGTAATAAACTTTTGCACCAACAAAGATCTGGATTTTTTGGGTTTCAGAATCTACCAAATGTTTTTGGCTGGTACTAAAAAGGTTTGGGGGGTTAAAAGAGTGGAAATGCTTTTTTTTTTTCCCTAAAATGTTCTTTTGGAAAATAACAATTTCTTGTTGCTTCTCCTCAGCAAAAAGGAGGTTATGAAAAGTAATCATCCTCCCAACCTTCAGCCAGTTCCAACTCTGGAGGATGATTATGGATCTAGTGGATCAGCAGTAACAGGGGAAAAGTGCAAGCCTATGACTTACGAAGAGAAGAGGCAGCTAAGCCTGGACATCAACAAGCTTCCTGGAGACAAACTTGGCCGTGTAGTTCATATTATCCAGTCGAGAGAACCCTCGCTCAAAAACTCAAACCCTGATGAGATTGAGATTGACTTTGAAACACTGAAGCCCTCCACGCTGCGTGAGCTAGAGCGATATGTGTCTTCTTGCCTTCGAAAAAAGAAAAAAGTTCCAGGTAGGCCCCTGAATAACTAGGGGGTGTTTTTAGTATTAGCTAGAAAAATAAGTAGTTTAAAAAAACAACTAAGATTTCAGCTACTATTTCGTTTTCAAGTGTGTGTGTGTGTGTGTTTTTTTTCTCATGTATTAAAATGCAATTGTTTTTGTAGCTGAGAAGAATATCGAGTCTGTGGCTTCTTCCAAAAAGGCTGGATCTTCTTCTGAAAGCAGTGGCTCAAGCTCTGATAGTGAGACTGAGAACACAGGTGAGCTACAGCTGTTCAGAGTTCTCCACATTCTCACCCTATCATTTTCAAACTAATATATTAAAAAGTACCTTTTTCCCCAGGAATGTTAAAACAGCAGAAAAAGAAGAGCCGCTCTGGGAAGGAGGCAAAAAAGACCCATCCTGCCGCTCAGATGGGTTCTGCTCCAACTGGGCTTCAGCCCCAAGCTGCTGGCCCTCAGTCTAGCAGTCAGATGAAAAAGCAGCAGCTTGATCCACCTCCTGCAGCTTTTGTGGCTCATCCACCTGTAGCAGCCCTGGAATCATCCGATTTATTAGAGAGCTACGAGTCGCTGCCATCATTCAGCAGCCATCAGCCCATGATGCATATATCCCACCTCGCAGGAAACTCTTCCCCTCCACCTCCACACCTAAACGCTCATTCTGCAGGGGCTGTGTCTCCTGAGACGCATCCCTTCCTCAATCAGCATCCCGTCCTCCCATCTCCAGGTAAGAGAGGAAGCGGGGGCTGTGCTTCTTATAGGTCCGGGTTTATTTGCATCATCTGTTTTATTACTTCTGCAGGAATAACTGCAGACCCATGCACTTGCAGTTCAAGACTCTGTGCAGTTCTAAAATTCTGCACGTCACATGATTACATAGATGACTTTGCATTGGTGTGTTCTTGTCTTGCATTTTTTGTGTGCATACAAAAAATACAAAATGTTTCATAGAAAACAGATGGAGGCAAACAAATGGGTGGAAACAATATCGGCTAAAATTAGCCATGGCAGGGATTTTCAGTGAGCTTTATCTCATAAATGTTCTTGTTTGTTTTTCTGTGACCTTTGGAATGGCTCAACCTCAGCTTTACACAGCTCCATGCCTCAGCAGCCTTCTCGGCCGAGTCACAAGGCAGCACCTCTTCATCCCAAACCCCCCCAGCAGCAACCGGCACCACCTCAGCAGCAGCAAACTCTTCAGCCGCAGCTTCAACCGCAGCCAGCAGCCCCACCGCCACAGCACCAGCTCCCCTCCCAGATCCTTCATCCGCCTTCTCAACCCTTGCATCAGAGGCCCATATCACCCCCAACGCTGACACCCCAAGGCTTGCTGTCTTCTCAGCCTCCTCAGATGCTGCTGCAGGATGATGAGGAGCCTGGGTCCACCACACCATTGAATCAAGTGCAGTTATGCCTACAGCAGTTCCAGCAAGCTCGCCAGCCACAGCAGACCATGCTGCATACACAGGCGCGTCAGCAGCAACAAGGACAGACTTCGCTCCTGCACTCTTTACAGGGACAGGCTCAGCTGTCCACTCAGACATCACTGCCTGCTCCTCAGCTTTCTGTCCAGTCCCAGACTCAGCCTATTCCGTCACACCAAGCCCCGCCCTCACAGATGCCCCTACATCCAGCCCGTCACATGCAAAACGCTCAGCAGCAATCGCAGCAGCTGATTTTCCAACATAGTTCTGGATTATCTAGTCAGTCCCAGGTGACGCAACATAATTTATCAATGCCCACCATCAAAGCACAGCAGATCGTCCAACAGCAGCAGCAAGAGCAGCCCTCCCCTCGCCCAACCAAAGTCGACCCCTACAACCCCGGTGGGTTTGAGAAGACGAGACAAACAATGAAAAGTCTGATGTTTTTATGAACAAAGTCAGCTGTAGAGGTTTGTTCTGCTGATGCATGTTAAAGTCTTTATTGTTTTACTTACAGCTCAAATAAGGGACAACCCATCCCCTCTTATGATGCATTCCCCTCAACTTCCCCAGTTTGCACCTGTCTCTCACCAGTCTCCACCTCACAACATGCAGCCCAAAAAGGTACTAAATAATTCTAAATAAATGCACAGGTTGGGCGGTAACTGAAGGTGGGGAAAAACCAGCAAAGCATCTAACTGTGGCTTTGTTTACTGGCTGTGCAGCAGAGAGCCCCGGGAAAACAAGGTGCAGGTAAGGAGGAAAAGCTTCCTGCAACACCTGTGATCCGAGGAGAACTTTTTAATCCTGCAGTGAGACCAGACCACAAGCATCCCGAAAACAAGCCCAGGCAGCAGAGTGAGAACTCCTTACACCTGTCATTTCAAGATGACTGAAAAGAAAATAATCTGGAGTAAGACACAAAGTTTTGTGTGTGTGTGTGTTGAACAGATATGAAGTCTATGGACAGCTCACAGCCGGTCATCTGCTCTTCTGAGCCTCATGGACCACCACCTACCCTACAGGACAAGGAGAAGTTCAAACAAGAAACCAAGACCCCAGCGGCTCCCAGGAAAATACAGGTGGATGCACGAATCAGTTTACTGTACTTTTAATGTACACTTCTGTCACTTGTGTGTATAAAGGTTGCATCTTGCAACACTTCATTGTATTTTTATGTTTGTCTTTTCTTGGGATGTCAAACTGAAGAACGTGGGACCTTGGGGCAGCCTGGGAAAGGAGTCCACAACACCATTATCTACTGTAAAATCCTCAATTGACAGTTTTAATATTTTCCGCCGTTTTGCTCTGGAGAAGGAGGGGAAGCAGAAGGCCCTGAAGGCTGAGCAGGCCGAAAAACGTATGCGAAGGTACGATTTTCAACAAGACTTCAACAAAAACACCAAAAATCATGCAGACAGAAATGTGATCATGACAAATAAAAGAAACAGGAGTTTTTGTGCGTCACTGATGACCAGAAAAGTAGAAGCCTCCCCACCCTGCAGCAGAGCTCATTTGTTGCTTCTAGTTTTTGTCTAACAGTGCTGATGTTTCACCTCAGATTGGAAATGCAGATTACTGATCTGTGCTGGGATTGTACTCATGGAGATAACTTGGGCTTCTTGCATGCTTCCAAGGACAATTTTATGCACCTGCAAACTACCTGCAGACTAAATTATTGCGCTTAACATTTTTTAGAGAACAAGGTGAAGAGGTCATCATTGAGCCTACCAGAAGGATGCATGAGGAGCCTCGCCGGCGTCCTGAACAGCATCATGTCCAAGCCCCTTCTCAGCAGCCGCAGATGCCACAGCCAGCTGCCGTCCAGCAGCCTCCTCAGCCCCCTCCGCTGCCTCAGCCCACCACACAAACCTCACTTGACCATGAGAGAGAGATCGCACGTCAAAAAGAACAGGAGAGGAGGAGGGTGAGATGATTTCTTAACTCTCTCAAGTTGACATTTTTACTTTAAACAAAAACACCATCGTTCTCAAAGATATGCAGAAATTGTATTGAGATAAGAAGTTAACACAGGAAGTCTGGATTTCCCTTTATCGTGTCTGAGAAATGTTCCATAGGTTCAGGATGCAATCTGAGTCCAACCAAAGCAAAACAACTCCTGATTTGTTTTTCTCTCTACAGAATACAGCAACTATTGACATGAACTTTCAAAGCGAAATCATGTCCATCTTTGAAGAGGACCTATATTGTGGAAATGAGTAACTCAAGCAAGCAGCAGCGAACGAGGATAAACTTTATCTTCAGTAAAGCAAACGTGCACCCCGAAGGGCAGAAGACTTGAATACCACAAAAGCCCTGTAGAGACTTGATCTGAACGCTAGAGACGTGTCCACAACTCGCTTCGTCCTCTTGGGATTAACTCTGGTTGTGGTCTCGCTGATGCTTTGGACGTCGTTTTGTTGGAATTTAGCATCGCTCGCCTGAACTCCCAGAACAAGTAAAAGAAGAGCTCCTGTGGGCACACTTGCCTTCTTCATGCTCTCGCACTGCGCGTGGGCGTGGCGATAACCGCGGGAGCAACGACGTCCTTCCGGATCCCAGCGATGATGGAAAAATGCTCTGATGTAGTGACAGACTGCGAAACTGCCAGATGTCAGATATTGTGAAGAATATTGCTTTTATGTTCTGTTTATTTTGTTGTAAGTGACACTTTCTTTTCTTTTCTATTTCTGGGGCGGGCGGGTAACTTCCATACTGTAAATCATGTATATTTCTCAGCAGAGAAGGTACAGTTTGCCTTACATCTCTTTCCTAAATTTGTTCTATGACCTGCACACATAGACAAACCAATAACATTTACAGACAGGACCAGAAGCCGTGCAGACTTTTACATCATCTAGTATCTACTGAAAAGAAATATTTTCTTATACTACAGCTGTTTGTTTTCAGTCTTTCTCCTTCCCACTTTAGCTCTTTGAATCTTCACAACAACACACTCCAACAGACACCTATGCCGAACAACTCTTATCATTTATTCATTGTTCCAAAACATAGAAGTGCGTGGATAGTGAGACGGGGGGGGGGGGATATGCAGAACTCCAGTGAGTATTTATGAAAAACTGAGCTTCTTTTCATTATTTCTTGTGTTTTTCCTTTTAAAACTACAAGAGATTTTAAGCAGAAAACTGAACAAACGAGTTGCTTCTGAGCTTTGGTTGAGTTTCACTCCGAGCACTGAACGTTATTTTTATTGCTTCGGACATAATTTTGTTCACGATAGTTTCGCCAATCAGCTCAGCCTCTCGCTGCTCCCCTTCAGTGCTTCTGGAAGGAGGAAATCCTTCATAAACACACGTTTCTGTTGTTGAAACTTGAAACAGGTGGTGAGAGAGTCAGTGGGACCAGATGATGGCCTCGGTGAATCATCGTCTAAGGCACACGGCGGACCGTGCAAAATAAAGACTACAAAAGTCAAAACAGAAAAGGATGAAAGAAGTTTTGATTTCTATCTTTGGTGTTTGATAATAGTGGGTGTGAGTTCTGATCCTGTTGTTGGCGACGTCAGAGGTAGGCTAAAATCGAAACACATCTCATCTCTCGTGTTTTTTCTCCAGTGCCTGTATTGTATTGCAATTCTTGTTGGCTTGTATTACACACTTAGAGGGAATTGAAGGTTCGACGTGAGTGGGGGGTGTAATATTTGGATGGGGTGGGAGATTTTTGAAAGAGTTTGTGTTTTAAAAAAAGGTGAAAAGTAAGACAGCATTTTATATCTGACCCATTGTCAATACTCGGGTTTTAAATCTAGTTTTAGCTGGACTTCTATGATCGTACACATCTGAGAACAACTCATTTGGTTCTGTCAGCAGATTGAAGTAGATGTGATTCAGCATTTCTACACTAGCATTTTGAGTCTAGTGTGTGAGTGTGTGTGTACTTTTGGAAGGCTGTGTGTGACTGTGAATGTTTCTGTTCATTTTTACTTTTGATGTGTGGTGCTGAGAGGCACGCTCACCCATGTAGATAAACGTGTTGATGAGGAAAGTACTTCAGGAGAACTTTAGTGCTTAATTCACTTTTTTATTTTTATGAAGTCCACTATGTATGAATATATGTTATTAGACCTGTTTCAAAGTGATAAGAAAACACGTTCATTCCTTTTTGGCCTGTTTCTCCCTTTTCACGTTAACTGTTGGACGTTATGTGCCATGAGCTCTAAAGAGAATGTGCTGACATGCAGCTCAGCTCAGAGTTTGCTTTATTCAGGTATTTTATTTCTGTGTTACATTTGTTCTGTTTTGGGGGGTTTGTTAAAACATTTTCCTCTAATTTTTTTGTTGGTATGTGCGTGGTTGCTTGAGGTCTCTGATTAGGTATGTTATGATCATTGAATAAACTCATCTCTTTTATAGAAAATAAAACCTGGAATTGTCTTTTCACTTTAAAACTAGATTTTAAGCATTTATCAGCTTTGAGCTTATCTGCAGGGAGGTGTGGTGCTGCTGCTTAGCCCTGCAGAGTCAGTCAAGGACAAGTCAACATTGGAGTAGAATAAACTTTATCGATCCCGCGGGGAAATCTCCTCAGCACAAACATTTAGGGAATAGTAAAAAAATAATACAGGTAAAAGCACAACGGCTTCCATTGTAACCTTCAGCACTTAAAAACAAAAATAGAAGAAGCAGCATGAAGGACACAGACAAATGTACGTTCAGGTGTTGCACAGGTCAGCATTAAGACATTTACTTAATCAAAGACTTGGAAATAAATTTAAAAGTATTGCTTGAAAGTTTCAAACTTAATAGTGAAATAAATTGTAGTATTTTTTAGATTTTAAACTTTTCATACTTTTAACTTTGATGTTGTTTGTTGTTTGAGAAACAGTTTGTGTTTTTTTTTTACTTAGAAAGTAAACTGTACCTTAACCAGGTTGCACAGAAATAAAAACACCGACAATAAATTATTTAGTATTAGTTAAATCTATTTGAAAGTCACTGGAAGTTGAGTTACAGCAGAATTTGTAACTGGGTTATTTTTTTCTGCAATCATGTTGTCAAGCAAATATCTCCAGCTGTGACCCGACCTGTTAAAAAGCTTTTCCTTTTTTTTAAGGTTTTAATATTAGTTTTAAAAAGCAAGGGATTTTAAGACATTAATTTATTTTGTTGAATTGTAAACTTTGTGAACGATTATGGCATTCCCAAGGAAATATAGTTTTTGAGCGCCCTCTTTTGGTCACTTAGATTAACTGCATCAACACAATGTGGATTCTGCCATTGCTCTTGGGTGGGATAAGATGGCATAACCCAGAACTATTCAATTCTGGGCTTCAAGGGCCGGTATCGGCATGTTTTAGTGGTTTCTCTGCTCCAACACACTTGATTCTGTGGTTGAATCACCTGTGCAGCAGCTCATCGGGCTCTGCAGAAGCCTGTCAATCACCTGCTAATTGAAATCAGGTGTGTTGAAGCAGGTTAAAATCAAAACGTGCTGGATACTGGCCCTCGAGGCTCGAAATTGAATAGCCCCGGCATAACCCCACAACTGGCTGGCTGAAATGAGCTATCTATTTTGTTTCCAGCAGACCCTCTCAATACGTTTGGGCCTGCCAGGTCTGACCGGCTTCCTGTCCCACCATTGAAGCCAACTCACCACCAGCTAGTGGTCAGTTAACAGCTCTGCCCGTCTCTTTACTCGAGTATCCAAGGCATACGGCCGCAGATCAGATGACACACCAACAAAGTTGATAATCGAACTGCGGCCTAAGGAATTCTGGTGCCAAGAGCACATGTGGACACTTTTATGCTTGAACGTGGTGTTCATTATGGACAATATATGGCATGCACAAGAGTCCAGTAACAAAACACCGCTCAGATTCAGATCAGGGGGGCCATTCCACAAAACCACACCTCTCCAGGTCTCACTGTCATTGCCCACATGAGAACTGAAGTACCCCAGCAGTCCCCCAAAACTCTAAAGCACAAAACATATAAGCTCAAAACTTCAGTCACAGACATGAGTCTCCATGTGGGAGGTTGGCTGGGAACCTCCTCGCTCCAGAGAGCCTACAGCCTCATTGCATGTTCTAGATCCCTTAGGTATGGTGACCTTATAATAATAATAATAATAATAATAATAATAATTATGCATTTAATTTATAGGCACCTTACAAAACCCAAGGTCACCTCACAAAGACATGATAAAACTTACACGAAAATAATAATAAGATCATTTAAACTATAGAATTACAAAGAATATGCTATAAATTACAGAGTGGAGAGTTTGTGGACTAGTGAGTGTAAGCCAGTTTGAACAGGTGAGTTTTGAGTTTGGATTTGAATGAAAGGAGGGAGTCTGTGTTTCGGATGGCAGGAGGAGGTGTGTTCCAGAGCCGAGGAGCAGAGCGACCGAAAGCTCTTTTTCCAACGGTTGTGAGATGAGCAGGAGGAACCACAAGGTGAATGGCTGAGGAAGACCTGAGGGAGCGAGATGGGACAGCAACATGGATGAGATCAGAGAGGTAAGGAGGGGCGAGAGAGTGGATATGTTTGTAAGTGAGAAGCAGGATTTTGAAGGAGATTCTGTGTTCAGTAGGTAGCCAGTGGAGACGCTGAAGAACAGGGCTGATGTGATCTCTGGAGGGGGTACGAGTGATGACCCATGCAGCAGCATTTTGGAGAAGTTGGAATTGATGAAGGGATTTATGGGGCAGACCAAAAAGTAGAGATTTACAGTAAGTTACAGTAATCAGTCCTAGAAGTGACTAGGCTGTGTACGAGGACGGCTGTAGCATGAGGAGTGAGAGAGGGGCGGAGTCGGCTGATGTTGCGTAAATGAAAGTAGGCTGAGCAAATGAGGTTGATGTGGGCGTTGAATGATAGAGGTCTGTCAAGGATGACACCAAGACTCTTTACATGGGGGGAAGGAAGGATGGAGGAATTGTCGATGTTAATTGATATGATGGGAGATTTGTTCAGAGTGGAGGGTTTCCAAATGAGCAGAAGTTCAGTTTTATTGCTGTTGAGTTTCAGGAAGTTTGATGAGAACCAGGATTTTATCTCAAGGAGACAGCTGGACAAGGAGGCCGAAGGGAAGATTGCATAAATATATATATATAAATCCAGGTGTCATCCGCATAGCAGTGGAAATTTATCTTGTATTTGCAAAAGATTTGACCAAGTGGAAGAATGTAGATGATGAATAAGAGAGGTCTAAGGACAGAGCCCTGGGGAACACCAGCAGACACTGCCAGGCCACAGATCCAAAGGCAGGGGAGGGACCCATTGAAATATAAATAATCTTTCAATGTCAAAGAGTTCCTTTCATCCATCAATTTTCTTCTGCTTGTCCGGAGTCGGTCGTGGGGCAGCAGCCTAGGCAGAGAGGCCCAGACTTCCCTCTCTTCAGCCACTTGGCCCAGCTCCTCTGGGGGAATCCCAAGGCGTTCCCTGACCAGCAGAGAGACATTGTCTCTCCAGCGTGTCCTTGGTTATCCTTTAGGTCTCCTCCCATTTGGACGTGCCTGGAAAACCTCACCAGGGAGGCGTCCAGGGGGCATCCTAATCAGATGCACAAGCCACCTCAACTGGCTCCTCTTGATGTGGAGGAGCAGTGGATCTACTCCAAGCCCCTCCCGGATGACTGAGCTTCTCACCTTATCTCTAAGGAAGACCCCAGCCACCCAGTGGAGAAAACTCATTTCAGCCGCTTGTATCCGCAATCTCGTTCACAACCCAAAGCTCGTGACCATAGGTCAAAGATTAATAACAATATTACTTAAAAAAAATAATTCAGATTTGAAAAAGACAATATCCTGTATTTATTTTGTGCCTTCCAGAGTTCTATGACCCCCCAAGGCACTTTACAACACATCAGCCATTCACCCATTCACGCACACATTCACACACTAGTGGTGATGAGCTACATTGTACCCACAGCTGCCCTGGGGTACTCTGACAAAGACGAGGCTGCCGTGCTCAGGCACCACTGGTCCCTCTGACCATCACCACCAGGTGGGCACTTTACTCTTCTGCCACCATTGCCCCTAAGTATTAGAATGAGTAAAGAAACAAATAAAACGAATTCAAATCAATAAATAGAATTCATATAAATAAACAATCCAGGACCAGGATGACATCATTCCATGTTGTCGTCACAGAGACCTTCAATGTTTTAGTTCTCATGTACCTTTACTGCCCTCTTGTGGTCATATCTGAGAACTACATTATGGCTGACGATAATGAATATATGAGATGTCCCTCGGCTTAATCAGTGGTTGATTAACATGCTTCTGCTGAACACTAGGACAACACGAAGAGGTACGAGCAGAGGAAACATCTTAACGGTGGTCCTCCAGGTCCAGAATTATTCATCCTTTTTTTCAGTTACAAGATTCAAACATTAATTTTCAGGATTCACATAACCAATGATAATGTAATAATGACTTCTAAGTAAATGTATCTCTGCACATTCAACGGTCTCTGGTGTACTCAGCGTGGTCTATCATTAGTCGAATGCCTAATGAATCGGACCACTGGAGATAAAGAAAACAATTACAACACAAGATATTTAAAATAATTTGCTTCTTAGAAATCAGTTTTTAATTCTACTTCTCTGTGAGATTCTTCACTGTTCGTTGTTTGGGTTGTCCGTTTTCCCCAACAGCACGTGAAGGCAACACGCTTACCTGTGGGCCAGGTCCAGCTGATCCGAGTGAGAGTGATTCAGAGGGCGTCGACGTAAAAGTGTGCTAGCGTGCGCGTGCTGCGCAGAAACCAGAGTCTCTGTCCTTTCTGTTTCCTCCGATAACGGACCGGTCCAGGGTTACGGGCAGGCTTGGATGGAGGAGGCGCTGACGTCGGCGGTAAGACACCTGCTCGGTTCAGAAACAACGTCTCCTCAGCGTCGCGTGTGCACTTCAGCAAAAGCGAAGAACCGTCGCTCTATATTCTCATGCTGCTTCCGTTTGATGTGGTGGGGCTCTCGACTTATGCTTGTTTAAAGCAAAGAAAAGAGACGAGATAGAGTCGGTTTCCGATAACTCTGAACAGAATAAACACTTTAAAGTCAACTTCCTGCTGCTTTGTTTTTGTTGCAGTAGCGGTTATCTGTGAATTTAGGGTTTTTTGCTCAAACTTCCAAGTAAACAAGCCCAAAGTTCAGAACACCTTGAACTGAAGGCTGCATGACCAAAAAGCTCCACAGTCAAGCCAGCTCTGAAGTCAAGGTGAGGCTGCAGTTCCACTCAAGATACTTCAGATTTACTTGGATTGTGGTAAAGTTAGGACTTCTGTAGGACGTGTGGTGAATCCGTCTACTGAAGCTGATCTTCAACCCATCCAACACTCAGTTAGTCAGGAGGCACACTGATTGTTTGAATTCTGCACATTTTACAGGAAGATTGCTTGAACTACATGATAAAATCAAATGTGCCTCTCCGCTCCAGATTCAAAGATGTGAAGACTATTTTAATGGTGTGCCTTTCTGACCTGAAACCCCACCCTGGGTGACTAATTTGAAGTGAAGCAGGGCTAAATACACTGTTATTTATGAAGTAGTAAAATATTTAATGCTAAGTGGCGAATGACTTGTGACTAAAGGTTTTTGTCTCTACAGTTATGGCTGAAAACAAGCAGAATACCTGCTACTACAACCACAATGTCACCTTCTTCTACAACCAGGTGGGGAAGGAAATGAGTGAAAAGTGGACCCCGAGGGACTTCGTGGTCATCGGACTTGGATTGACGGTGTGTGTTATTGTAGTTTTGGCAAACCTGCTGGTGATGGTAGCCATCTTCAAGAACCGCCGCTTCCACTTCCCCATCTACTACCTCCTAGGGAACATGGCAGCAGCAGACCTGTTTGCAGGTCTTGCCTACGCCAACCTGATGTTGAACACGGGCCCTTGGACTCCAACGCTTACGAAGCAGCAGTGGTACATCCGCGGGGCTCTGATTGACATCACCCTGACTGCCTCTGTGGCCAACCTGCTGGCTGTTGCTGTGGAGCGCCACCAGACCATCATCACCATGCAGCTGCACAGCAACATGACCAAGCGGCGCGTGGTGCTGCTCATAGTCTGCATCTGGGCTGCAGGAATCATCATGGGTCTGGTTCCCTCCTTGTTTTGGAACTGCGAGTGTGATCTAAAAGACTGCTCTACAGTGGCACCGCTGTACAGCCGCCGCTTCCTCGTCTTCTGGGCCGTTCTCAACCTGCTCACTTTCTTCGTTATGGTGGCAATGTACTCCCGCATCTTTTATTACGTGAAATGTCAGAGTCGGCAGACGGCCCAGCACACCTCTGAGATCCGACAAAACCAGACGGTTGTCAACCTGATGAAAACCATCTCGATGGTTCTGGGTGAGAAGAATTCCTCTTTAGTCTCCGCTCTGAACAAAACCACGACAACTCAATGGTGTCGGTGCTTTAGGACGGAGCAGACGTGCCGTCTGTCTGACTTCACCCTCAAACCGGTATTTTAGCTTCTGAGCACCTTAGACTTGAAGCTTGATAAGAATTCAGTGGAAAAACCCATTATCTTGTCATCGCGTTTCAGTGAATCGAGTAACTTCGCTCCTGACATGTAAACAAGTTCTACATGACGGTTGAGCGATCTGATGCAACAGTATTATGTCTCTGGTGCAGGATGTGTTCTGCATTTGTTTACTTTTCTCCTCCTCTTCACCGATCACGTCTCTCCAGGGGCCTTTGTAATCTGCTGGACACCTGGCCTCATTACCCTCCTGCTGGACGGGCTGCTGGGTAAAGACGGCAACGCCAACAGCTACGAGAAGTACTGCTTGGTGGTAGCAGAGTGCAACTCTCTGGTGAATCCTGTCATTTATTCTCTGCGGGACGACGAGATGCGGCGGACGTTCAAGTGGATCCTGTGTCGTTTGTGTCAGAGAGGTGCTGATCGACAGCAGGATGCTTCCCCTGCTGAGATCAACTCTCCACTGACGGAGGTAACCAAGTATCAAGTGTAGCTGTGTGACTGTTGACCTTTACACTTCAGGGTAGAACTTCCTCTTTCTGATCCCTGCACGGCTGGCTTTGGGGTTCCACTTCCTTTCAGTGGATTGTTCAGGTTTCACTTTTTAAACAATGCTGATTTCCGATAAGCCTGAAGCCGCTCTGTTGTAAATCTGATGGAGGAAAGATATTTAGTCACACGGAAGTTCTCGTCTTTATTTTGATCAGCTCCAGTGAGAATAATCCTAAATGTTCTTGCAGAAAACTCTTGAATGCGCCCTGCAGTTAGAAGATCAGGCCTTGTGGAAACCTCGGGATACAGACTTTAGTGACAACAGATGGACAGAGCCCGTGGTCTGATGGGAAAATAAACTGGTATGGTTACCTGAAACTACATCGTGTCAAATTTCATGTGCTTCATTTACTCGGCGTCTGAAAAGCTGAGTGTCTGCCGTCGGCTGAGACGAGCACCGCTTCCGTCTCGGTGTAGCTAACAAATTCACGGTAATCAGCAGATGGTGCAATCTCTCCTTTTATTACATTTGACTATCACAAGAGCATTTGTGACAAATTATAAAATGAAACACTCCTAAAATGAAATACTGAAAAAAATCACACTAAATTATTTATTAATTTTCTAATAAGAACACTACAATTTGTCATATTATTTTTGTTTTACTCTTTCTAGATCGATTCTAAAGTTGAGGTATAAAAGGAGTTTATGCAGACTCACGAGTCTGAAAACAGCGGGGTTATATACACGAGAAAGGAAAAGACAGAGGTAGAGAGAGGGGTAAATACAGGGGAGAAAGGGCGATACAAATATACTAATAAAAACAAATTAAAGTTCATAAAGCCATTTGGTGCTGTGGAACTCAGGTCATCACTTGCAGAATCAACAGATTTGAAAAACGTTTACAAATAACAACTTCATGTTTAGAGTCACAGCTCTGCTGCAGAGTGAACGGGCCACAAAGTACTGATTTAATCATTAGCTGTAATATTTAAGTGACTGCAGCAGACGGCGGCGGTTCTGACGTGTGGACTAGTTCCACAGCACCGTGTTACACATTTGTTAACCCTACAACTTGCAACTTGGTTACATAACAAAAGACCTAAATAATAATAATAAGTTGATAGAGTTATTGTGTTTTATGAGATTGTGGACATCTCAACTTTTATAAAAGGAAAAAAAAAATACTGAAACATTACACAAACTGTACAGTGACATCCATTACAACAGGTAGAAAAAGGGGCACGCATGATAATTTGGTGTGACTAACATTTCTCACAAGATGCAGATGTACAAACTGCTGTGAGAAGCAAAACCCAAAACTTTAACATGATATCAAATGTGACCAGCTTTCAAGCTCCGGTTTTGCTCTGTGACGTGTTTGAACAAAATCTTTAAGGCTTACTATCAAAATGCGTCGCTGTTCAGGTAAGTTGATATACAAAAACTGTTAAATCCCCCAAATGTTGCAGGTTTGTTTTAAAGTTGGGAGCTTTACCACACACCACCTGCCTTTTTTGGTAACAGGAAAGAAGCCCTTGCCTAATTGGCCACAGAAGAAAAGGTAGGTTTTACTGGAGGATATTAAATGATGAATAAAAGCATTCCTTTGACGCTCAGGCGTGATGACCTTTCACCCAGAACCTTTATGAAGCCCCTAACAAAACATCCAAAAACTGAAAACGACTTGAGGCATGACAACACCACAAAGAGACACAGACACAAATATAACTCCCTCCTTACCTCAAACTTAGAAAATGGCTGTGCACCAACTTTAAAGAGACGGAGTAACATTACTACATTGCTGAACTTGGTATTTTTGGTTTTGGTATAACAGGTGGTGATGCGTTGCCTCGGGCTCTCAAGCTTCAGCATTACAAGATGGGGAGGAAATCTCACTTGAAGCCCACCTTGTGTGATGTTAGCTGGTAGAAGCACCAAGTCTAAATAATGTCTACAAAGTTCAAATGGACACTCGCCAGTTTGACTAGGACGTCCCAGGAACCCTGTACACACACCCACGAAGACACATCAGAGCGATACATGATGCACTTTCTCATTTTTGGTCTGACTGTAATAATTTTACCTTTTTTCATTAATAAAAATTTAACTCAAACTCGGAAGATTAAATGAAAACAATTTCACACCTAGAAGTCCTACATGCATGGAAGACAGTCACATTTCTAAATTCATGTCACGTTTGACCCAATAACACATCGATGCCCCACAATCTTTCTGCCCTTCCTTTCTGCCATAAAGATGCTTTATTGAGCTAATTTTTGGTGGTGGCTGGTGCATTCTTGGTGAAACAGCATTAGAAAAAAGCCTACAATCAAATAAACTAGTGGACAAGAAAGTAAGAAGTCTACAAGCCATCTAACAACACCCTCTATGGTTAGCAACACAAAGGGCTATTAATTACACCCACTTAACCAAAGATCTGCTCCTCTCACCAGCCGTGATCACTTGCCCTGCCCTGTTTAGAACAGTGACCCAACTACCTTCCTAAAAAGGTACAAACTCATAACAAGGATGCTAACATTTGTGCTTGACACACCTGTTCAATGTCAGCTCGGTATGAAAACAGCTGAAAAACGTGTGATATGTAGGTTATGGGGGGTATTTGCATGCACGTTTGTGCATTTATCAGTTTTTCACATCAAACTTAGAATGATACACCAAGTTGTAAGGACAAGACGACGCAACGGTGTCTTGTGTCGAGCTGGCAGGGGGTAATCGTAGAGGAACACTGGGGCAGCACTTTGGTACAAGCAAGGTGAGCAGAGCTCCCTGGTGGTCCATATCCACAGTCAGGCTGTCAGGTCCCAAGGCTTGAGCAGATACGGGCAATTCCACACGGGTTCCCAAAGCAGCGAGTCGAGTGTAGGTGTCAGCCGCACACGAACAAGCTGTTCGAGTCCTGTGTCAAGGTAACGTGCAGATACACATAATGTACAGACAACACGATCATCTACACAGCTGGATCAGTGGTTTCCAATCAGTTCTTGACAGCATCAGTGTGCTCCACTCCTCAGTTCTGGCTTAGAAGACTGGAGCACTAGAATGGAGTTGAAGGGAGGAAGCCTCGGTTTCTGTGGGCTGTCTCGTGTTCCAGCACAGCAAGTGTGTGTGAGATGTGTTTACAGCCTCGTGCGGCTTGTCGACAAGGGAGCAATAAGAAACTGGGACAAAAGATCGTAGAGCAGACGCAGTGGGAATGAAGTAAAAGCGGGGAGAACCACCAAATCAGTTGGAAGTGTCTGAGTGTACGCTGCCAGGAGGACCGGGAGGGGAGGTAACTGAGGGGGGGTTGGTGGTGTCCTGCCAGCTGTTAGCCTGCAACAGAAAAGGAGGAAAATATTAGCGACAAAGCCCGTTTCAAACAGAATGTGTAACGGACGAGGTCCGGTTTGCGTGCGGCTTCCGTATCAGAACGTTCACGTCGGCTACGGAGCAGCGTGGCTACGGATGTGGAGCTCTGGAGAGTTTCTGCGTGGCGTCTCACCTTTTCCAGATGTTGCATGTGGATCACCAAGTTAAACAAATCAAACCACTGAGCCAGACAGGAAGTGAGACGCATTTCAGCGAAGTGCATTCAGTCTATTTCAAAATAAAACCTTTGTCACTTTATTTTTGCCGGCATTTATTTTATCAATGACAGCGACATCAGTTCCATGTATGATGGCTCACATTATTTTTAGTGTTGTATTTTTAAATGTCAAATTTCTAATCCTTTGCTGCTCTTGTGGGAGCAAGTATCTGACAACACACACCGTGGGTAAGCCGTGAGGAAGCCGGACTACCTCTGGACTGCATTCAGTGTGAAACGGGCTTCAGAGAGGGGTTTTATAGCCGGCCAATTAAATCATCTTTATATGTGCTCAGGAGCCAGGAACGATAGGGCCTCAACACCCCAGAAGGATTACAGGCAAATAATTCATTCTAATTGGTTAAAGCCAGCTAGCAGTTTCCTGATTAATCACATCCATATTTAAATAATCAATTTGCTAAGAAAAGTCTAATTATAAAACAATTATTGTGAGCCGCTTCTGTCAGAGACAGGATCACCTGCTGATTTCTAGTCTTGCTGATGTGAGAGACGGTCGACTGCAGGAGGGGGTTGAAAAGGCCAAACGCAACCTGCATCAGCTCAACGTTCACACGTCTTACACCCAAGTGTTTTACACAACGGCTAGAGGGGATTACACAACGCTGCTACTCACAAAACGAACGCATCATCCTGAAAAACACTTGCAAAAAGTGTTGTGAGGTATGGAAACCAGACTTTTGAAATCCGACGGCAACGGTGCATCGTTATGGATCGGATATGTTAAGAAAAGAAATCCCTCCTGTTGTCGAGACTAAGGCGTTACTCTGTCGATCCATTTTTATGTATTGCTGGTAGATCAGGAAGAAAACCAACACCGCAGGTGTCGAAACTACCGTGTTTTAGAAAGAGCCGACTGACACGGCGTAATCTTTTGTCCCACAATGCCGTGTTTTCTGTGAAAATATTAGTAAACAAAAGTTTATTTTGGTAACCGTATAATTTGGAGTAATTAGAGCTGGATACGTGTGCTGTTTGAGCTAAATGGGGCTGCATGGTGGCGCAGTGGTTAGCACGGTTGCCTCGCAGCACGAAGGTCGCAGGTTCGAATCTCGGCTGCGGCCTTTCTGCGTGGAGTTGCGTGTTCACCCCATGCAGGCGTGGGTTTCCTCCGGGTGCTCCGGTTTCCCCCACAGATCACAACATGCCCTACAGGTTATAAATTGTAAGCTGCTTTGGATAAAAGCGTCTGCTAAATGAATAAACATAAACATAAATGAGACAACGCTACAGCGGGTGTGGATACTCACATCGAGACGATGAGGGCTGAAGAGTCCACTACTTGACAACGCCTCATAACCGCCCGTCAGGTGTGTAACACGGTGCAGGGTATCCACCTATCGCACATTTTGTACAAAAACATCAGCAGGATTAGAAAACCGACCAAATGTTTATGCTGCTATTTTACTTGGTAAATGAAACGTTGACAGCATCCACAAACCTCTACAGAGCATGAGTTCCCTCTACCATGCTGTTTTAGACTAGGTGAGGTCTAAATGTTGCTGCTAACTCACCGTCTTCACACTAAACACAACCGCCCGGATCAGAATACAATGAAAAGGTGGTTTTACTTCACCGCGTGGGACATTAAAGCAGAAATCTGTGGATTCTTCCAGATCAGCACAAATACACCACTATCAACACACAACAGGAGGAATGTCCTCATGGGCTACAAGAGTAAGGGAGTGGATGTGTGGTAAAATGCAGGATAGTTGGACAACTTTGGGAAAACGAGGACTGACAAAGACAGGAACCACTGGTACTATTGGAGGAGGAGAAAAACCTCGAGGCAAAACAACTGACCATTACTTAAGAGTATTGATTTGAACTCCGACCCTGATCTGTGGATTCCCACAGTGGTACACTGACCATGGACGTAGTACTGAAGAGGACTCCTAATGCTCTAAACAGGCTCTGACACTCAGCCAGACCCTATTTGAGCTGAGAAGGATGCATGTGAGTGTATTCAGAAATATAGCATAAGAACACAAATATGTTAAAAATGAATAAATAAATTCCTATGGCTCTCTGATCAAAGAATGGTCAGTTTTGCGATGCGGGGCAAGAATTAGTGGTAGAAAGGTATAAACAGGGTCTGAGGAACTAGGCTTTTGGGGAGACGAGACACACAGGGATGCTTGGTGGCTAGGGTCACTGTCCTCACTGCATACCTGAGGCTGTAGAGAGGGGGTGAAGTTCAGACCTTCACCATTGAGGGAATGCAAGCCAAGGTAAGTGTCACCTGTGTAAGAAAAGTTATATGACCCCTGTGACCCTGCAGTGTGTGACAGTGCATTTCAAATCAGACCTGTTAGAATACACAACCATTACTCCGTGTCAGGAACTAAATCCAGACCTGATGAGCGTGACATTAGCAGCTAAAGTTTGAAACAGTTTTATTTTTGACTGAAACACTCCTTTGTGAGGATTACAAATTCAGCCTCTCATAAACAACGTAAGCAGAGCGCCCAGGGCGCTTTACTCCCCTGAAGCTGATGATGCCTTCGTTATCTCTGGACGTGGTTACGAGGCACGCTGGGTGAGGATGTGAGGAGTTTTACTTGGTGGATGTTTAAAGGTTACGGGATGTTAACGTTTACAACTGCTGCTCCAGTTCACCGCCTGTTTTACAGGCAGCTTCAACAATATTAGACTCTACTCCAACATCAAGCAGCTCTTAGAGAAAACCTTTTCAGATCATTCTTGCACACGGGGTTAGATTTAAATCAAATAAAAAACTGAAACATGACCTTTGTCACATCCTGACTTCCAGAGGTGGAAAGAGTACTAAAGTTTCCTACTTAAGTACAAGTACCAAAACTTCCGTCATTTTTACTCAAGAACAAGTAAAGTTATTTGCCAATTTTTTTACCTAAGTAAAGTTACTTAGTTACTTTTTTGTCAGTAAGGATAGGTACACCTAAGTAGTGCAACGTTACAACGCCAGCTCACAACACACACACACACACACACACGGATGGAGCACATGTTTACAAGTGAATTAGCTCCAGTATGAAGTGGTGATTGTTTAAGCTCACTGAGACTGCAGGTCTCCTTTCCTGTGAGCAGATCACACTAGGAATCCGTTGGTAAGGAGCGCTAAATTCTCTGTCGCTGCGATGCAGAGTAGTTGGAAACACACTTAAAACACAGAACCGACCTGAGCAGAATACTGACGTAACAGCGGTGCGCGAAGGTGCGGCTTTCAACCAACAGGAGAGGGAGGGAGAGAGGGGGCAGATGGCGAGTGCCTCACAGGAACCAGACTGACGTTTTTGAGCAAAACTGCGAGAAAAATGTACAGCCACACCCCCCACAGGCGTCTCTTTCTGTTCTGACGCTGCAAAGCACAATATTTTTAATTTATTATTAAGCCTATCTTTTTTTGACTCAGTAACGGATATGATTGAAAATGTAGCGAAGTACAATTCTTAAAAAAAATAGCACTCCGTAAAGGTACAGACTTTAAAAATACTCAACAGTAACGCGAGTAAATGTCATTCGTTACTTTCCACCTCTGCTGACTTCACTACCTTCTGGCTTCCTTGTATGGAAGCCAGAAGAGTACAAAAATGTGTAGATGTGAATGTGACTAAGAACAATAGCAAAACAAGACCAAGGACCTAAAATGCAGACATCATTGTGGGAAGTCAAAATGTAACAAGGTATGTCGGCTAGAAACATGAGCAACGTCCTGTGAAGCAAACTCAACGCATAGCCCCTCCCCCCACCCCGGCTAAACCTGAGGAATTATGTGTCCTGCGACTTTATTGAAGAGGTTAGTTAGTTAATCAAGACTTTCAGCTTTTGTTCCCATAGAAAGTAGCCTTTAAACACTCAAAAGAAACCATGGAACAGTTAAAGCAGAAAAAGAAGGTCATTCTTAGAAGACGAGCAGTGTCGCCACATTTGCAACCAGAGGAACGTTGCAGAAACTCTGAGTTGAGTAAATATCTGCTGCTGTTTGGGTCGCAACAGAAAAACATCGAAAACTTTAAATTCACACCACTTCTCCCTGATTCTGTTCCAAATCAAAAGAAAGTGGGATGTTTTAATATTCTCTGCTACACAGAGGATCCGATAGCAATCCCATCACCAAAACCAGGAGAGAACACCAGAAGTGTCCTGATGGTCCATCAGGGAACAAAACCAAAGTTGTTTTCTCGGTATTTTCTGATTCGTTTAGGGTTTTAGTTTTGTTTTGAGACATCTGATCTAATGAAAATAGTTCTGATGGGATGCATTCACATGGTCATCCATCAATCAAGAGGGTTGGCTCCACCCTAGTCACTCTGCTGATGTGTCCTTAGGCAAGGCACTCCACATCCTCTTTCCTAGTTTGTGTTGTAAAATGCTATAAAAACCCAAGTGGTTATCTGGAGGCTTTAGAAGGCTTTAACAGCTTCAATAATAAATAAGCCCTGTTTAAACAATGCATTGTGGGTAAAGTTGAGGATAACAAAAAAACAACTGACTGACTCTAAAAGTGGCCATGGGGGTTTTACCTTTGTATTAACCCGACCCTCTCGCCACAAAACCAGTTTCTTCCCGTCTGCGGTCGGACTCATGAACGACAATCGTAGCCCCGCCCACTCCAGCTGCTTTGCTTTAGTCACATGACCCTGTGTTGTGTTTGCACCTGACCTGATCCGCTCTGGACCAGTACCTACACTGACTTGTATAAAGTAGCTGCTTCTCTAATTATTGATTCATTATATTATTATCATTTTATTGTGCTTATTTCTTAATTCTAATGTTGCTCATAATTTCTTTCCTAATGTTGTGATTCTCGCAAATATGGCAATAAAACCTTCTGATTCTGATTAGAAAGATATTAATTTAAATTATTACAGGATCTGACAAATGACACGTGGTTTCAGTCTGAAAAGTGAGAGAATTGTGCTTTTTTGCAGACGGTTGAGCTCTGTTCATGCTAAAGCCCTCTGGGCAGCGCACCGTGCACAAACCAAACAGGCAGCAGACCAAATTTAGATCAAAACAAATAAATGGTTAATATTCAAAACAAAACAAAAAAAGGAAAATTTGACAATAATGCAAAAATATGTCCTTAGTTACCAGCTTGCTGCAGAACAACCAAATGAGAGAAGATTGTGTTGAAAGGCACCTGAGTTGGGCGTTGCCGGAGAGTTAGCCTGGCTAGCCTGCGCTGACACATTGGCAGCATCCACCGCTGTTTTGACTGCGTAGAGGTTTGCTTCCTCCTGGAACTTACCAATGTTCTTCTTGTAACGTATTCTCTTGTTGCCAAACCAATTAGAGACCTGAGGAGCAAACAGATTTCACAGTTTAATGAGGTAAATTATTTGAAGCTAAAAAAACATTTTAGAATCCAAAGAGGTTTGAATGGATGCAGCTGGACTACTTTGGTTTCTTGAAGCCGTTTTGCTTCTCATCCAAGGAGCTTTGAGCGTTCCGACTGGAATATGGGAGAGTCGAGCTTATAAACTGTACACCATATTCCCGTTAGAATGGCCAAAGCTCCTTGGATGAGAAGCAAAATGGCTTCAAAAAAACCAAACAAAGCCCTGTGGATGACGGAGAACCTTCACCGGCAAAATGTAAGAATATTATGTTGCAGCTTTACTATTAAACTTTACTAACAAATAGAAAAAGGAATTAAAGCATGCAGTTAAGTACATAACAATGATGATCAACTGGTATTTTGGCACCGTTTTTCAAGATGGAGAGGGCAAAGATAAATAACTTAAAGAATCACCCCGTTACTATTCTGGATAATGGATGAGTAAACGATTCACCTGAGACACAGTGATCCCACACTTTTTGGCCAGTTCCTCCTTTGCTTCCTCACTAGGGTAAGGGTTGGACAAGTGGGAGTAGAAATACTCGTTCAGAACTTCTGTAGCTTGCTTGTTGAAGTTGCGTCTTTTGCGTCTGAAACAGAAGGGTGAGCAGAGATTTGGTTTGTACATATATGACAAAACACCTTTAATGCATTAATAAAGTAAAAATCACAGCCAGACAGACCTGGCATCAAGGAAGCGTGAACGCAGAATCATGACGGCCTCGCAGGTGCTCTGTTTGAGCTGCATCTGAATGGAGCTGAATTTACGATGGATTATGGCCACCATGCGCTCAATCTCCTTGGGAGAGATGGGTCGTGTGCGAGACTGCTCCCTCAGCAAGTTCATAACATGGTTGGTGAACTCACTGCAGGCCTGAAAATGACCAAAAGGTAAGAAAGTAAACGTTATATTCAGTGCAGATTTCTGGTGAAGCTGTGAAAGACCAACACCTACCAAACAAAGTGAAACCAGGCAAGTGTTCAGGACTAACCTGCTCATATTTCTCCAGCTCAGAATGATATATCTGACGGATCTGGGCGAGCTTGGCTCTGTAGTCAGAGTGTTCAATGCTGCTGTCGGTAGGTGAGCCCCCTGCTGCTGCTGCAGCTGCAGCTGCTGCAGCTGATCCTCCTCCTTTCTCTGGTCCTGATACACCTTCTGCTAGTAGCATGTTGTCCAGCCGCATGATCTGGGGATCCGGCGGGTCTTCCTCCTGCACACCTCGTATGCTCAGCACTGGGCAGAAAAGAAAATGCAAAAGATTCAGACAAGAAAGGTCAAACTGGCCTGACCAGAGGCAAACATTTATCTGTTAAGAGTGTGTTGGTTTGTTTAAACCTGACAAACTAAATATCCATGGGCATGGTTATTCCTGTGGCCTTAAACGGAATATACAAAGATGCTGAAATACAATGAGAAGCAGATCTGTCCAAACCAAGTCAAGTTTCTGCACCGACTCATGGCGTTTGACTAAATGTTGTGAGTCTGAACTTCCTCTAAACCAACAGCAGAGGGCAGCACAAGCCCTTTGTGGCAGACTGCCAGAGATAAGGGCATGAGGCATGAGACCAGTAATGGAAGTGCATGTGCTGTCACTACAAGCCCCAGTGGCCATAAGTATAGTTATCAGTCGCAGCTCTCCACCACTGTATTATACCAGGACCTCTGTCAGCCCGCAGCCTCGCTCTCATCTCTCTCTCTCACACACACACACACACACACACACACACACACACACACACACACACACACACACACACACACACACACACACACACACACACACACACACACACACACACACACACACACACACACACCACTCTGTTTCTGAAGTTTGGACTTCAGTGATCTTTATTCAGAACCTAAAGCTTTTAACACTAAAACTACATTTTCTTTTGCCCTTTTAGCTTTCCAGTCCTTCAACTTCAGAAAGATAAAAAAATATTTTCAACACACCGACTTTGTGTACGTTAGGACTACCTTAGCACATTTAATTCCTCACTTTAGATTTTGGAAATTGAAATAAGGTAAAAATGTAGCTACTGTGGTAGTAACTGATGAATTCAGAAAAGTGCAGTAACTAGTTACTTATGAAAAAGAAGTTTTACCGTTAATTATGGAAGAATTCTACCTTTCAGCAAACAACTCTCGGGAACGACTAAAATCAGCAGCTTCCAGTTTAGGACAGGCTTATTATGGATGCTTTAAATACATTATTTATGTTTAATTACCAGTAACACTAATTGAAAGTTGTGACTTGATCTAAGGAGTTATAGGTTTTCCTTCCACCAAACCATAGCATCCCAGTTATTGGATATATTTAAGAATTATTGGAAAGTAAAACATATAACTAATCATTTAATGTAATCCTGAACTACGGTTCAAAGCGTGTCCACGTGTTAGTTACCGTTAATAGGCCCGATTATGTAAAGAAAAATCCATTTAACTGTGGGGGGACTCGTGCAAAGCCAGGGGGAGGCTGATGACGTAGGACAAGTGGGTGATGTTGGACACCTGTCCTTATTAAGGATTATGCTAGTCTGTTGAGGTTCACCACCAAAGTTATGAAGAGCGTAAACTCATTTCTTAAGGTTTTCATCGGCTGATTTTTCAATTTTATGTTGTTATCATCTCAAATACCTGAAACATGCTGAGAAAGGCACCATGAAAAACATGTCTGCAGCTCATCAGAGGGACCAGACATAAATGAGCAGTTTTCGCTCTTTCCACCGTCGTGGCAGGTTTTTAACAACGGTGTCGACCATTTGTTCTCTCTTCGTTTTACATGTTTCTTCATGCCTTTTTCTCTCCCTCTGCTACGTTTCTCGTCTACCCAAGGCACATTCCTGCTGTGTTGCTCCCCCATCTCAGGACTTAGGAATGCAGCAGACCCAGTCGCCTGAACTAATGACCCTGATTCGCCCATTTCTTTCCCTCCATTTTCCTTCTAGTCTTCCAAAAATTCTAATGATCTCTGCACCTTTGGAGCAGATGAATAAAAGTTTTGATTTGTTACACTGATATTTGGTTGGAAATACTCTGTTCGTGTTTTTGTTACAGGAATTAAAATGAGCTACCAACGACCACCAGGCGACAGATTTTAACCCTAGGAATATAGTTGTGGTTTTGAGGAACATGTTCATTTTCTCAGACGTTCAAATGACCTACTGTGAAGAGGGCAAATGTGGCTCTTGTGGCTTCTCACCTCAGCCCCCTCCTTTTTAGCTGTGACTCATTATGGCCCCCAGCTGTAGCCTAATGCACCTACATTCCCCTAATTACTTCAATTAAGCTGTGATTACCCAGAATTGCACTCATGCACAGTCTAGTGGCCTGGTGATATTAAAGCAGATACTACAACAGCTGTTGAGATGAGTAAAAGTATTGCACAACAAAGCACCATATGACGTACCAGTAAAAACTAAAGCAGCATTTGAACTGACGAGTCAAAGAACCAGGAGGTTGTTTTGCTCCAGAATCAAAGCCAAGTGCTCTTTTAAAGCTGCAGCGTGCATTTCCACTGCGCTGGTTTTCTACCAAGGAGACCTCAACCTGAGATAGATCTAAGTAATGACACTTTAATTTGTTTTTAAGAAGACCGTTTCAGGCCCACAGCCAATAGCTATGGCTTTTAGAAATGGCCATAATGCATACGTTACAAGCCGAACCGGGCGGCGTGGCATTGTGAGACTAAGCGAGGAACACATACTATGAAATATTCAGGGTATCCAGCTGGGCTCTCGCTGCATACATAATCATTCTCGTTTCTGCACGGCAAATGTGGAAACGTAGTGCTGTGCAGACACAACACATATAATCTAAAAAGGCACAGGGAAAGGTGAACAGCCCTACCAATAGTGTAGTGCTGTACATTAACTGAAATGCTTTCCACACATAGGCATAGATAAGGCTTAAACGCAGTCAGTATATCATTGCTCAGCTCACAGCACAAGCTTTATCCTTGTCTGTCTTTTCCCTCGCTAGCATCCCCTTTTTCACTCTGTCTCCCCAACACACATCCCCTCCCCCTTCTCCCTTTCAGCACACCCCCCAACACACAACTCCCCCATCACCCCCCACCCCCTGTTCTCCATTTCAGTCGAGTTCTCCATGTGAGCCGCAATCCCTCATGCTGTCAGCCCCCCCTTTCCCTCTCTCTGTAGACAGACAGGATTAGCATTTTAATTGCATCAGCTCCCTTGGGTATTCTCAGCCTTTCACTGGGAGAGAGCAAGGGATCGGCAGAGAGGGAAGGAAAAAGGGAGAAAAAAAGGTAAGAAGAGAGAGAGCGGCTAGAAGGAGAACCAAGGAGAACTGAAAAAAAGGAGTCACAGGAGAAGGTATGTGAGGGAGAGAGAGACAACAGAAATACACAGAATCTGGAGCACAAACATTAGGGAGAGCAAGTAAACCAAAGGGAAGGAAAGATGGTGAAAAGATCAGGTTTCCCCTTCCAATACAAGTCTAATAAAAAGCTTAGTCCTTTACAACCAAACTAAGCTGAGTGGATGTGCACATTTTCATTACAAAATGTACAAAATATGAATTTAAAATCTAAAATCTACTGCATGATGCAAAAAAAGCATCTTTACACTACAAACTGTAATGGGAAGTAGGTACATTCACAACTCCCCAAAACAAAAATGTTTGGTCGGAACAAACTTTGCCCTGAACTGTGCTTGACACCAGATGGTGGAAATCTGTAAGCTTGACCTTGATTCTCAGATTTCACAAAGCATTGTGACATCTGAAAGGACAAAAAACACACAAATTAACAAAGGCAACTGAAGCTGGACAATAATAAAAAGAGTTGTGCCAAAACTCCAGTTTGAATGACAGAAAGAGAAAGGTTAAAAATGTTCTGAAGTAAAAAGCAAACTCTGTCTCAATCACATCCAGATGGTATTGTCTGGATGCAAAAGGCTTACGCCGTAAGAGTCAAAGGCAGTCTCTTGAGTATTCACCTAAAATATGGATGTATTAATCATGATGAACACAGTTCCACTTAAACATTATGATCTCAAAACATGTTTCAGCATTTAATCATTTATTTTGAATTGCTTGGAAATGTAAAAAAAAAAAATGCATTTCTGCTGCAAAATTAAAGTAAAAAACACCCTCTTTTTCTAAAAAGGCCATTTTTGTGAAGTGCAGTCAACTTAATGAGCCTAATCCATATGTTCATGGCTGCTTTAAGCAGCTCACACTAATAAGCATCTGTTTGGGTAGTACACAAGAGTCCTGTTGCACACAGCCCCCCACTCTGACACAAACAAACACACTAAGAGGTAAGCATTCAGAGTAAACACTGTGTGTTCTGACCAAAGTGTAAATTGGAGAATTCACACCTTGGGCAAACACAACACTTCAGTCCAACACATCATTAATCAGCCCTTAATTACCTTTAAAGGGGGAGGGGAGCTCAGACACTTAAGCAATGATAACAACACAAACGGATAAACAGTGACTGTATTACAGTGTATGTTAAACATAAATATATACAAAACGTATTTTTTCCTTAAGGAATAAAGTGCTAAGTACTGTGTATAATTTTATCTAGGTCAAAAGTATTAATACTAATAATAATAACAATAACAATTACAACAACAATAATAATAATAATTATTATTATATTCATTTTATGAAGGTAAAATGAATAAAACAAGGATTAATAAACATCAAAACATCAAAAACACATTCAGAATAACTGCCAATCACATGTGTGATACTGCTGTGTTAAGTGTGGGGGGTGACCAGGTTGTATCACTGCTGTCATTACAGATTGATGTCTTTGTGTTTATCTACGTGATTTTGAGAAAGCTGCACGTCATCTCACACCCTTGCATCTCCCAACCCTACACAGATGGCTCTAAACAAATGACATTTGCTCCTAGCTCATTCAAGTTAAATGTAATTTAAGTCCATGTTAAGCAAGCGGACAAGCTAACCAAAACAATTATATTAAGCAAACAAGGTAAGCATGTCCTTTTCATCAAAACTAAGAAGTTGTTGCCATCTCAAGTGCTAAGACAAGCCTTCAAACCTTGCTGATGAGAACCTGTGACTAAACCTTTAACCTGGTACAGTTCTACACAGAAAGAAATACTCTGAAATGTCACCGGAGGACGAGGATGATGATGAAGAGCACCTAGGCAGGAGGCTTGTTACAGCACTGTAGGATCTTCCCCCAGTCAACTCTCATCAGGCCAGCTGCCTCCTGCGCTCATTAGCAC